AAAAATACAGATCAATGAGAAAATATATATATATATAATTATATAAGTATTAATATATATTATAGCATAAATTATACAAATTTTTATAATAATATATATTATTATATATTATTATATATTATTATTATAATATATATATATATATATATATATATATATATATATATATATATATATATATATATATATATATATANATATATATATATATATATATATATATATATATATATATATATATATATATATATATATATATCAATTTAGTACAGAAAGTGTTCTATTATTCTATTACCCGGATATTCTATTATCGGAACATATTTGTTTCCATATATTTCTAAATCTAGCAAACATCAATTTTCAAAATAACTGTCTTCGATGGCGGGGTATGTAAAGTATGTTTACTTTGTGTTTAAAATTTACGGCGTCCGGATGGATGCCACGAATTTTAATATCGATTCTGGCTGCAAAAGCCAAAAAACTCATTTCGTTTATGTTTCTAACATGAATTTATGAGAACATTTTCACGCGACAATGATACCGAGTACGTTTCTAGTATAAGATACAGTCTTCGTTTTTATTGGTTCCTATTATCCATTCTTTCAACTGTCACTAACAATGTGTGAGAAATTTAGTAAGGCAAATTCTTAAGGGGTGATTTCACTGAGACAACATTATACGATGCATGGTTGCATGTAATAAAATTGTAACAAAAATTAATGTTGCCTCGATAGAATTATGTCGCACGCGTCATTGTCGCGTACTAAATGTTGTCTAAATATTGCATCAGCATTTTGATGAAGCATCGAGCAGCCGTCGCGGCTATGAGCAATACGTTAACAGTCGCCGTACCAACTAATGCTGGAAATCAATTGTATTTTTTTTCCGATGCTCGTACGTGATCATTCTCATGCTCACCATTCCCTCGTGTTCAGGTCATATTCGCCGTACAGCTGACCCATAGTAATGGATTTCGGGTTCAATACGAACGTGAGAACCGGTGTGAAGGGTTTCCCGCTCGGCTGCGGTTTTCCTTTCAATTTCGTGGACGCCTCTTTCAACACTTGGTAACACTGTCGGAGCAAATACAGTGTTAATCCCTTCGTTTTTTAAGTCGATCCTATGGAAGAGTTCCGAGAAGGAACACCGTTATCATAAAAGGAGAAATAATCGTATTTTTCTATGACGTATACTCGAGTCTTTTCTTCTTTTCTGCGGACATCCGAATTTGTGATCACTGATTTCTCATATACAGGATGTCCCGGAATTTATTGTACAAGCGGGAAATGAGGGGTTCCTGAGGACATTTGAAGTAACTTTTTCCTTAGCGAAAATGCAAACCGCGGCTTCGTTTACGAGTTATTAACGAAAAACAGTATATTTTATATAAAATGAATGTGATATAAATTTTCTTAAATAGAAATTAAATGTAACATGCATTGCACATGTTGGGGTGATAAGAAGAGGGAAAGGTACTCGAAGTAATAATTTCCAAATCGACTCATGATAGAAGCAGTAAATAAGTAATATTTACAGCAGAACCTGTCAGACTCCGTGCCCGCAGTTAAGGCTTAAACAAAACACGATATCAGCGCGTACAAATTACGGCATTTATAGATTTTCACAATGAAAATTCTAGATTTCTTGGCTGTAATAAAAAATGTAATAGCGTTGCAGAAGTTTATCCGCCTATCTCATCTAGAGTAGATGATTCCGTTTAATTCGGTATGTGCAAATATATGGAATGTCGACGCGAGGGATCCAGATTTGTGTTTTGCACCGGTGGAGTATTTATATACAAGCAAGGTATAGGAGAAGAATATATTCGTTAACAGATAACATACAGAGAGAGAGAGAGAGAGAGAGAGAGAGAGAGAGAGAGAGAGAATTACACCGCATACTATGGAAATGAGGAATGGTTTGAAAGAGACAACAAGCCGCCAGGGCGTTGCGTTAACAAACAGACAAATTGTAATTTTCTTCGAGCCGGTGACCGGTTTCGCAACGACATCGGTCTTCCCGAGTCCATTTCGAAACAGTAAATTAGTTATCTGCCAGCCCCCGAAGAATCCTTATGCACCATCGTTATGGCAACTGCACAAAAACTGCGGTTGCTAAATCGTAATTTCCAACACAGTCGAGACACCGTCGAGACACAGCCGAGACTTCGTCGAGACATCGTTGAAACACGTCTCCCTTTAACCTTTCGAACTCGTCTCGTCCAGACAAAATATCCTATTAGCTTTGACGGGAGTTGAAGCGCAGAACTGCGCGCATTAATTAATCGAAAATATGAACGAATGTCCCCAAATAACATTCGAGGATTCTTTGTCGCGCGAAATTTAATTCTGCTGTTGTCCACGATGAAATTTGCCATAATAAAAGCGATTTCCAGAAAATGATTTCGTAAGTTTTAGTGAAGAAAGTTCTTAGTCGAATGGAACTTGTAATTTGAAATGTTTGGTACATCATGCAAAAACATTTCCGTTTCGATTTACACAACCACAAATTCCGAGTAATTCTGCTGTGAAGTAGCAAGTGCTACGTAAACGACGAAAATATAAATCTGCAGAATCAAAAAATATTGACGAACTTAATTTTTCCGACAAAATGTTGAATACTTGGAATGGAAAAACTTTTGTAAGAGTTATTAAAGAAGAATCTTTATTCAGTTGTGAAAAGTTCTAAAATTCAGCAGCAGCAGCAGATTCTAAAAACAGTTGTTATTATAGAAACATTTGTTTTTCTAAAAACAGTGGTTGTACTCAAGTACTAAAACAAAAAAAAACTAAAAAGTCATAAATCTCGAAAAGGTCCTAAATCCCTAAAAAGACCTAAATCTCTGATAAGTTCTAAATCCTTAAAAGGTCCTAAATCCCGAAAAAGACTGAAACTTCGAAAAAGTCCTAAATTCTAGATGTTCCAGAAGTTCCAGAAGTTCCAGAAAGTCCAGAAGTTCTAAAAGTAGCAGAAAGTCCAGAAGTTCCAGTATGCTCTCTATTTTCATGATAATATTGGTTAATATTTTCATTTTGCACAAATTTGTGCAAATAAGGTCGCCTTTAAGGTAAAGTTTCAAGTGTCCAGTAGTAGAATTAATGTACCACTTCTCAAAGAAACGATGGAGCTATTAGTTTCGGAACAATGTTCGTAATATACATTTTATTTTGTGTGATTGTGTGTGTGTGTGTGTGTGTTCTACGTAGGAAAATATTTCAAAATTTGCAACTAAGTCGAAAACAGAACATCAATGAATCGAATTAAATTTGGGTAAGCTTGTTCAGATGAGCGGTTTTTCGAATGAAATCGGATAACGGAAATTAAATTTGTAAATGCAATATGGATCATGAAAGAAGTAGCAATTAAAAAGGTATTAAATCTGAATATTTATTACGTAAAGGAACTCATATTTCATAACTGGAGTGTCTAGAATTAATCAAAATAAATTTATCGTCTTTAAATCATAATGTTAAAGTTAAAAATATAGTGACGAGTGACGCACACATAGCAATGAGGCTAAATATGCAAAAAAGATTTTCTAATACAGAAAATGAACTAACTTTGAATATAGGAGAATACATATATCGGAAGCATAAGCGTTGAAGGAATTCAACATTGACATGTTATTAAGCAAGATAAAATGGCTTCCTTCAGCATGTACTCAGTATGTTCCAAAACACACGCGTACGAATACGTATGTATATCGAAATACTCGTGTACACGTGTTTTGATACAAATTTTTATACACGTGCCGCGTGTACCCGGGGTTCGCGAGGTATGAAGTTGATTAATTTAAAAGCTACGGATTTCTCTGTTTATCGAAGAGCTTGAAAAGCTCGAACTTTCCTTGTCTCTGTTTACTAGAAAACGCATCGTTGATCGAAAGGACGAACGCGCACGAATGGCCGAGATTACAAATAAATATGGAAAATTGTAAAACGATCTTCTTTTGTTTGCAACGGCTGCAATCGTTCCGGGAAACAATAGACGGATCTGTTCACACCGATCCTTTTTTTTTACAATCTTTCGCAGTTCCTGCAAAAATCCTTTTACTTCCTTATGAAAACTAACACCCAATTAACTCCGGACCAGATGCGTTATTTAAAATTACATGAAGCGGCGCATAGCGTGCGCGTGACACTATAAGACTTGTAAAAATAATAACGAGAACAAGCGAGCTACTGTGACTCTTAATTAAAAGCAAATGCAGATACTGATAGTTAGGTGATACCACTTAACATTTCGTTAAAAAATAAAGAAACATCAATTATAAAACAAATGGTTGTTGCATCAAACACCCAATGCGACCGTCTCAGGCTCAATTAAGATATACGAAGAGGTTGGGACTATCAACCATTGACATTAATCGACTGATTTCCATTAAATGACATATCATGAAGTAAATGCTACTTCCGTTCGCAATACTGAAACATATGTAATACTGGCTCCGCTTTGAATGCTTCATCGTGATAAAAAACGCGAGAACTTGCGTGTTTATCGGGATGCATTTTGATATATCATATCAAAATTTAATGAAAATCGATTGCAATTTGACCGAAATATGTCAACAGCAACCGCGTTTGAAATTTGATGCTGAATTATTTGGTGTGTATTATTTATAAACTGAATGTGTAAATGTGTATATTTATGTACAATAAGTACGCAAAATGATGGTGACAGTTGTACACGAAATATATGACAATATGGACGAAAAATATGAATAATATAATAGTCGTAATAATAATAATAATAATAATAATAATAATAATAATAATAATAATAAATAGTCGTATCACCTCTTCTCAAATTGTTTATTTTTGTTTACAAGCTCAAGGAAAATTGGGGAGAATTTACTGTATTACCATTTCAATTTACATGACTTTAATAGCCATAGCGAAAATTGTTTCAGAGAAGATTTTAATTTTAATTTTTATTTTAAGTATATCAAGTGGGATATATTCTTGCCTAAATTTGTCGCATAAAATTCTCAAGTAACAGTAATTTATACGTAATTCATATTTTATATAATTTATATATATATATATAGTAAGTATATATATTGTATATAGTATATAGTATATATATATATTATATTATATAAGTATTCATTTTTCTCTAAACTTTCGAATTTCTTCGAATTTACGTGTTCATGTAATTGTAAAGCTTAAAGAGTGGTGTAACGTTATAGTTCCGGGTATCCGAGGGGTGACAAATTCTAGTCAATGTGTGTGCTCGTCAGCGACTAATCGTAAGAGAAGATGACAATTACGGTGGTTCCTACGAGTAACTCGGCATAGAGATACTCGATTTCATGAACCGATGATCGATATCACGAAATTCCAGACACGAGAAACGGCAGAATTTCCACTATCGTCCAGCTGAAATAGCTGTTTGGCCCACTGCGCATCACCTGGTTCGTATCGGCGCCGATTTCAAAGCGCATGCGACGGATTTCACCGGGTTGCGAGCATGACTGCGAAAGCAGAACGCGCTTCCAGTTTATCCGACGGAGCTTTCCGTCGCGCAACGCTCCCGTTCCGCTTCTATCGCGCTTCCGTCGCGCTTCCGTAGCGCTTCCGTCGCGGCGCCGATTTCAATTTCGATTTTGATCTCGATGTAAAATCAGAATTCGTCTCGCGCACCGAAACCGGCCGACCGATCGGTTGAACAAAGTCGAAACTCGTCGTCTCGTTGCACCACGCGAACGATATTCCAGTCCGCCCGGTTCGAACAAGTACCCCAAACCGACCGGATCGTCGCTGATCGAAACGAACACGAATCCAAAGTACTGGCTAGCTTGTAATCGTACACAGTGTCTTCCTCGTTAACATTGATATCGGGCGCCGGATGGGACCCTCTTCGAAAGACGATTATTTTCTTTCGAATTGTACGAAACGTGTTGAGATGTTTTGGAGAAATATCGCTTTTATATGGTGACGATTCAAGAGTGACTCATTCTATCGGTTCGTGTGCTAATAATTTCTGCGAAGGATTATTACTCTGCATGAGGATCCACAGTCAGGTCATAAATTTTTCATAAACCTATAAAACACCAATGTACGCCGACAACGTGAGTTCTCTGTACATTAAGTATTTTTGGAGGAACGAAATCATCGACATATCTTGAAAGATATTCCTGTCTAGAGTGTTTTTAGGCTTCCTCTGGTTCTTTGTTCGCGACGATCTTTCGCACACGCATATTCGATGCAGTTACGCATGCATATACGATGCAGCTTTTTTTCGAGCCGAGATATCCGAAATTGTATAAGCTGTAATTTCTTCGACAAGGTCTTACGATCCGACAGAATTGAAATGCCTTTAAATTAGTATAAATGTGGTCGCGATGCCAGACAAAATGACTCGTATACTATCTGAATAAAATGCCGCCGCTTTGATCTACAACTTTTATCACGCTGTTGGCACAGCAAAGAATCAGAACAGATCAAGATTTAACATACATATGATTTCGCTTCGATCATATCAGAAAATACGGTTTCCTCGGAAGTTTAGAGTTACATTTCGAAGAAGAATTACGCTTCAAGAATCAACGCTGAAAAGAAACTGGATCTTCCTAAAAGTACTAGACAGGAAGGCACCTCTTAATTCTTCGCCGGACTGCCTAATTACTGCTAATTACTGTTGCACATTTCCAAATTAAAAAATGTCGAGAAAGACTTGACGAGTCGATAGGATTATAGTTAATAGGATTACATGAATTTTTAAATGATTACATTAGCGTCTGCTAATGATAATTTGATTAAAGTTGCGTGGAGCCGCCGCGGAAACCATAATAATCGATATGAATCGATGCGAGGCTATCGGTGCGAGGGATCGATAGAATCGAGGGGATCGTCGGGGTGATTTCGCTTCGTCGAACGTCGAACGTTGACGCCAGAATCCGTTGTATTTCCGACGTCGTCGCCGGTCTCGTCCCGCCTCGGCAAGATTTATAGCTTGGCGCCTGTGGACCGCCAAGGTCGCCAGGCATTTAAGATTCCAGCACAGTGACCCGAGAGACGCGCCATCGATCCCCGAAATCTCGCGAGACCGATACCACCCGATGGCAGGTCTGAAAATCGACGGGTCAAATCGCGAATCGATTTTCGTGAAGCTTTCCGAGAAATGGTTCTTGGAAAAGTAATCGGAGCGTTTGTTTCTTGTCGGCATTCGTGTATGTTGTAACAGAAGCGAAAACGTATCCAACACTCGGGCGACGGGGGCTCGGGTATCATTGTTGTTAATTGAAATTTTAACATGTTCTTTAACGTGAATAGAACAACTGATGTGTCTAGAAAGACTACGTTCAAAAATATGTTGACGAAAATAGGAAATAAAATTACAAATCACCTTAGCGCACTCGGTTTTATATTCTCGTTAAGAATGCCCGTCACTCGAGCGTTAAACGTTTTCTTTGGCAGCGTGTGTAACTTGTGAAATTTACTTAAATATTCGTCACCGAACTTCAGTGTTTCCATCGCTTTAATTAAAAAGTTTTTGCGTGATTCCTGCGAAAAATTCTCGAAGCCGAAATTTTAGCCTTGCAAAGTGAGGAGGGAGTTTGTTTTTCTCAGCGCCGTTTGCTTTCCCACAATATCGGTGTTTTGACCGTTTTGTTGATTCGACCCCAAGAGCAAACAGCAATGGATTTGCAAGAACGTGATATGGAAAACGATTAACCATGTGATCCTCCGATGTAGAAAATTTCTCATTCGTCGATATTGGTTCTGTTTCGCTGCAAAAGTTAGATGAATTCCCCATTTCCCTGTTTGCGGTGAGCTCGCTATTGTTTTTCTCATCGCGGTGATCTAAATGAATGCTTAATGAAATTTATATACAATTTATACACGCGATGCACGATAGTTCGCAGATATTGCTTCTATTGTGCCGTTGGAATCGAAACAAGCGTTCAAAACTCTACAGCAATAGTAAACGTCGAGAAGCGAACTCGGAATAATTCCCGGACGATTTAGAAGACCCGACGCCATTATTGGAGGGAACAAATAAGGTAGAAACATAGTAGAAAAATAGCAGCAGCTACGGAGCTCGAAACGGAAAAGACAAATTCTAGTCTATAATTAGTGTGAGCAGAACGACGCGACGCGACGCGCGGCTGCTTCTTGTTCGATTACGATCTAATAAAACTTTGCTCGCTCTGATCCATTACCTAGGAAAATTTTTCCCATTAACGAGTTGATTGCGATGTTCCATGTTGACTTGGAACCACAATTTAGCCACGGAATAATTTATTCAAACTTCATTCTACGGTACCATGATGTTGATTCAGTATATCAAAGCCTATTTGAGGACCGAAACAGTAATCGATATCAATAATTCGAACTTTACGGTCGAGTCCGTGTGCACCGGTGACCGATCGACGCGTTGAAATATGTATACACATTTCAGTAGGGTAATGGAGCACAATTGCTGTGAGGTAGTTAATTAATAAACTGCAGATTTTATACATTTACGACAAAAATGTGTAGGTCGAATAGAACACATTAAATGTAAGACAAAAATTTAACAGGCTGTTCCATTATTTTCATCTGATGAAAAATGTTAAGAATGAAAACTGATTTCTTTAACACCTGTTTGTTGCAATTGAGATAGAGAATTGTTATTTTGCATAAAGATCCGCAGTCTACTAATTACTACTGTGCCTTTTGCTTATATTTTCAAGTATAATTAATCTTACATTTGTCGTATAAGACATATCGGTTGTTTTTATTTAAATTCAATCAATTATTTATTTGCTAATGCAAAAGACGGAATTTCTTAAAAACTGCAAAAATTATTTGAACTTTCTTTCATATTGAATTTGCAAAATTTTCTGTAAAGCTTATGAAAATGCTTAAGATCATGCTTCATTGAATGAATGAACATCGATTTTCAGTNTTATATTATTAAATATATTATTATATATTAATATATAATATATTATTATATAATATATTATTATATATGAGCCGTTTATTTTGAAAGTGGCATAAGTCACTTTGTTTTTAAGTCGATATATTTAAGGGTTTGCGTTTGAACACGTTTAAAAATATGGATGCTAACTTTCGAGAAGATTTACTTGTATTTGTTATCTCAGGATACTGATATTTTTCTCAGTATAAATAATTTCGTATAAACATTAAAAAATCACCACTTTTCATTACGGTAAAGT